ATTATCTTTTCCAAAAAAAAAAAAAAAAAAAGAAAGAAACGAGCAGATAAAAAGAGATAAGAGTGTGAAACGTGAATTGTATTTGAGAATAAACATTCCTTTCTTTTTTCTTTACTCCAACTTCCAAAACCTTCTTACGAAATTTTTGCATTTACTATACTTGAATGTATAAATCAAATTTTCGAGCAAAATCTAAACAACAAATAAGTAGAAGTGGGAAATGATGTCTGAATAGAAAATTTCTGAAATAATCTTAGAAAATGGACAAAGGATGGAAGAGAGGCAGCGGAATCGATTGAAAAACCTTGATGGGAGTATAGTTAAATTTATGCTAGCAGCTTATTTCAACGGTGTGAGATCATCACGGAAGTCAAGTTTAACTATTTCTTTCTTCGTCTGCGGCGACCGAACGCAACAGGCGCGATAATAATCGCCGAGGTTCGTACGTACGTTCGATTAACATAAAATAGGTATGGCAAGAATAGCGATGGAATGGAAAATGGCGAATAATTACAAACGGCACACTTGTTCCGGTACTTATTGAATCGAATTATTTCACATTGAATTGAACATCGTTACCCCGATACGTTTATTTGCATCTTGTAATGAAGCTCGGAATAATGATAACAAAAGGAACACGAAGTAATGGTAACAATAATGAAACATTTTCTTCTCTTACTTTGCGAAATAGCGTTCATTTCTAATATATATTATTTCTTTATGTGTTTGATACAATAGTGTAATTTCGGGAGAGACGAACCAGGCAAGTGTTTCCTACATTATCCGCCAGATATGGAAGAAAAAACACCGAGAGCCAGGCTCGATCGCTTTCCGTAAAACAAATGTAACACAAAAGAATACTGACGCGTTCCACATATGGCGGATAATTTAGGAAATACTTGCCTGGTCCGTCTCTCCCGGAATTACCCTATAATATTTCTTTATATTTTTAATATAATTGCGAGCACCGTGTACAGTAAATTCTCCACAATTGTCAGTCCGCAAGGAACCTAAACCTGACACTTGTAGAGTCAGGCACCACGTTTTCGAGCCTCGCGCCCGCCTTTGTAGTTTGCCGAACGTAGACAAGGACAGCGAATAAAAGATAAGGATGAAACGTGAGTCGAGGCAACCAAGCGATTTAAATACCAACTTTTTTAATTTTACGTTTTTTTATCCCGAAATTTTTCTTAACATGTTGATGAGATTTTTCTGATGAAAATGACATCAAACACGACATTATTTGAACAACATTTACTTATTAACACGTTCACTGTCTGGCGTGAATGTTCAAATTATATCGTGTTTGACATCATTTTCATCAGAAAAATCTCAGCAACATGTTAAAACAAATTGCAGATGAAAGAAAGTAAAATTAAAGAAATTATATTTTTCTATTATGAATTGTCCAGCCGTGAAATCTCGTAAAAGAAACCGAGTGGTGTAGCGTTACACGCTTGACTGACAGCGAGCGAGGATAACATAGGCGTAGGACCATCTATACTGACACTTGTAGAATCCAAACTGACTGACACTTGTAGAGAATTTACTGTATATACTCATGGCCTACTGGCTCTCGCTCCGAAATTGATAGAAAAACGGTCGGGACCTTACCGACCACGGAATATTGATTCAACAGTCTCTGTTCCTATCCGAGACTGACCGAGATACTTGTACGCTTGTTAAGAAATGTTAAGAGGTGTTCGTGTTCACGTTATTGAGGAGTTCAGTCATAAAGATAGGGGAAGCACCGAAGGCAGGTTCTTTGTATCTTTAATATAATATATTATCATCTCTAATATATATTAGAAATGAACCTTCAATGGCGACAAAAAAGATACAGCATCCTATCTAAAAAAGTAGAGATGACCTTGAAATCTCCTCTACGCTTCCACCCACGCCAAAAATATTTGCATCACAATATGATTCCCTCCATGTTATGCAACATTTTGTTCGTATCGTTGCAAATATTCACGATGGACAAAGTTATTGGTTCACCCTGTATACCAGACAGTGTGAGAAATAATTGTGGAAACTGTAAAATCAAGTCTTAAGAGAAGCAAAAAAAAAGAGTTTCGAATTTTTAAATATCACGTAAACTCTTACATTGTACATTATTGTAGGATTTTTTCCTTCGTCGAGATCGCTAGGATAGTATAGTGAACTATGCAAGGTCGCAGACGATAAAGTTTTGTTAGATATTGCGTCACCGCTAGCTATTCATGGATTCACCAGGGTTAGCTATTCAGGACACCTTGAGGAAACCTCCGTCAGTCTCCATTTTTCTGAAAAAGTATCAGATATGATTTATACACCTATTACTACATTTTATTTGTTCAATTACAACATTCAATATACAACGACACTTTTCTCTTAACCCTTTCGTGACCATATTTCTTTTTACATTTGCCTATTTGGCTATCGATCATTGCGTTTACAATGGACGCTAAATTGAGATCAATTTTTGTTGGAGAACTCAAATGGGAGATATACACTACCGGCAAAAAATTTGGAATCACCTGCCAATTTACATCAATATTGAATCCGCTATTAATTCTTTATTGATTTGAAATTGATCTTGTGGAGATCAATAGCACTTACCCTCGTTCTCGATTTGACTGATAACAAATTCGTTAAAAAATTATTACGAATGCTAACTTTTTTCTTAAGAAATTTGGTGCAACTTGCAGTGCATAGTGATTCCAAACATTTGACCGGTAGTGTATGCAGTACCTACTGGTCGCGAAAGGGTTAAACAGTTTCATCTATCGACGTCCTTTTCTTATTTATTTCCTTTTTCTCTTCACAGGCATACATGAGGCCAAGAAGCACGGCGGTTCATATTGCAAAAATCGTGGCTGTCACCTTAGTAACAATGACCGTGATCCTTGGAAGCTTCATCCTTGCAACAGCCTGGGTCCATGCTCGAGCAACTTGCAGCGTTGAATCAATTGCTGCTATGCAGGCTGAATTGAGGCTGCAACAGCAAGAGCAACAACAACAGCAACAAGCTACTTCCGTTTCCTATCAGCAAGGTGAACTTTTCAATCATCTGAAACCAGAAGCTCTCATCCAGGTAAGTGCATTACGCTTGATACGAATTTTAGGAAAAATTTAAATACGCTTTCCAGAAATATGATAAAAATTCGTTTAGATGTAACGTTTCGTGCGAGGAATCAGGAAGAAAGTCATTCCAAATTCTATATTGCTTTGAAAATAATTCCTTTCTTTCATAAATAAAAAATAATTCTGTTTCACAAATAAAGTAGCTCAGAAATATCGTACAATCCTAATTATGGCTACAGTAATGCGACACTTCTTGAGAAAGTAAATAGTTTAATACATAAGAGAATACACTACTTCTTTTTCCTAGTAAAAATAAGAAAATAGACATAACGTCGCTTCTTTATACGTAGCAGCGTGTTTTAAAAGGGTAAAGGTGAAGGCTTTATACCTGTGTGAAATTGTTCCTTGTTTCGCTTGTTTAACGCGGCTTTCGAGATTTCTAAATTTTCACCTTGATTCAAACCGATTGTAAGAGATCGAGCGGCGATCGGTTCTCGTGGATCGTTTCCACTCGAATAGAGCCGTCTAGAGTTTATGATGGAAAGTAAGGAAGGGAAACGCCGCGCGAACTGCGATAATGTGATTAACGCCGACATGCCGAACAAAGAAACCAATTTGCTTCACGTGGTCGAAACGCGGTCGGAAGGCATAAGAGCCTTCGTGTATACGCAAAGAGATTTTAAGTAATCGATCAAACAATCGTGAAAATAGTGGGAACGTATTACACGTACGTGTTTCCTTTGCAACACATTTTCATGCTATCGTTAAATCATTTCGTTCGTCAATCACATTAGAGAGAAACGTTTACTTGAGGAATTAGTTGTTAAATTTGACACAACCTGTTTCTTCGAGGAGGAGGAGGAGGATCGTTATTGCGCTTGAATAATCGCGCGTTTGCAGTGGATGCAAAAGCCAGGTAAAAGTATGTTTAAAAATGAAAGTGAAAGTCTGAAACGAGAAAGTGGAATAGTTGTTCCTTCGCTATGAAGAAGTTTTTCGATGATAAAACTGTAGAAAAAGCAGAACAATAGAAGATATTGCGTTCAAAGTTCAATTAAAATTTCCATAGTTTTTATATTTAATTACAAAAAAATAGCTATTAACATGTTATCGATATTGTAATAATTAATTTTCTACGGTGTGAAAGTGTAACGAAAATGAAATGTAACAGTTTTTCGTTGGCGTTTCTTCAAGTCATGTGTTGCTCGTGAGCATTGATATTAATACGAAGGAACAGTTCGTGGACAGTGCGATATGAATTTTAATGCAAGCCTGAAAACACGCCTTTTATGATGAGACAGCAAAGAAGAATCGCTTCTCACGGCACTCGATGGAAAGAAAGGATCGCGCCCGGTCTATGGTCACGCCCTTCTTTGTGGTATTCGCTTCGATATTACTGGCAATAACGTACTACCGTGATTTACCATGATTTATCGTGAACTTTTTCATCCGGAAAACCAGATTTGTGGTGTGCCAGTTGCTTTATCGGCTGGTCGATTTTGCAGGAATCGGTCGTTACGGAATATCCCATCGTTATCAGCTTCCTTTGTCAATACTTTCTGCCTAAATGTGAGGAAAACTCGCTATTTTCAAATATTGGAAGGTTTAGATAGACTTGAAAAATTTAATTGTTAAATGTAAATTTTCAGCTGAAACTTTTTGTACGATTAAGAGTTACACTTTTAATAACTCGAATTACTGGAATTTTAATTATTGGACGTGAAAAAGGATAATTATGAAGGACAAGTTGAACGAACAAAGTTTTGTGCCAGATCCTCCACGCTCTTTAAATGCCGCGAGAATAACAGCTGAAGGTGGATGTTGATCAGTGAATTAGGCATGAAAAGTGAGAAACTTAGAAAGCGTGGAATAATTTACGATCGAGACAACACGTGTACTTTTATGCATCTTCGCAGACGTAGATAGAGAACAAAGGTGGTAGATAAATTCAAATTGGGCATGTAAGTACCAACTTCTTGTGGCACCTGTTCGTATGAAAAATTGCTCGTAAAATTTTCGAGAAAGTACTCCATATATTGTGCACATATTGCATCGAGAGCTTCATCACGTTTGTAGCTGTTAATAATTCATTACGACAAACTTTACAACTCCCCATCGAATCTACATTCTGCCCATTTGTCAGCGATCAAATTTCTCTCTTAATCGCCTCTGCTCGTTTAATTATTATCGAAATGGGGCATTACCGAAATCTGTGGTAATGAGTTCCATCCATAGCAATTCATAAATCACATACACTCATTATTCAGAACATTTCTAATCGATCATCTTTCACAAATTCACCAACGATCTAATTTCAACTTCGATCCGCTGTCAGAATCGGATTAATTAAATCCCCGGTAACGTTTCTCATATTGTACAACGTTTAATCGATCTTTCACATCGTGCCTGTTGATAATTAGGTTAAAAATTGATCAAGATTCAATTTGTTTCCGACGTAATTAATCCTGGGCAAGTAGTAACAGCGTGAGAATCGATGGAGCGCGACGAGATTCAATTATTCAGCATAGCACGTATACATAAGTACTGCTCTGCTGGCTCTGTCGGAGATTTCAATGCCTGGTATCGATTAATCGTTCTAAAGACGAGCGCCAGCGTTCAACTTGTACTCGCTTTCCCCGCTCGTAAATCGCGCGCGGACTTTCGAGTCTGCCCCTTTGTATGCAAAGGAAAAGACGACACCGGAGGATTTATCAGCGGAGGAAGGGATGGACAATTAATTGTGCATCGAGCGGCGGTTGCAGCTCGAACGGGAGAAGAAGCGGGTTAAAACCTCTCGGGGAACGAAGAAATCGCATAGAAGCGGCGGTGCTCACCGGTGCTAGGAGCTGCGTTCAAGGAGAACCGCAACGGGGAATTACGTAATTCGGGTTACGTTCCTTGATGTATGTACGATTTTAACGCGAAACAGGAAATCACCTTTTTGCTTCTTTCCAATCGCCGAGTCGCACTGCCGTTCCGTTTCCAGGATTTCTGGGAGATTGGCCGAGGGCGAGGTGGAACGTAATTCGTTACAATTTCAATAGTAGCGTTGGAACTTATTTAACATACCGCTATTTTTTCTTTTTATTGAGAATTATATATTTTACAGATTTAGTTTTCTCGAAAAATCGCATTTTGTCAATGGCTGCTGTACGGAATTTCGTTGCAATTTCAACAATAGCGTCGGAACTTATGTAATCTATGAAAAATTTTAATCAACATTCGATTTATACACTAAAATTCTGCTCTTCTTTTTTATTGACAATTGTGCGTTTTATGCATTCAGTTTTCTCGAAAAATCGCATTTTGTCAGTGGCTGCTGTACTGAATTTCGTTGCAATTTCAATAATAGCGTCGAAACTTATGTAATACGGAAAGTTTCGATTAACTTCTTACGTTGAGCCAATTCAATTTGTATATTAACATTCTGCCATTTTTGATCGAGAATCACTCACATTTTACACATTAAATTCCCTCGAAAAATCACATCTGCTGTAATGAAGTTCGTTATTCAACAACATTCAGTATTCATTTTACAAGACGTCATATTGAGTAATGAGATATCATCTTATTAGCTGTGTAAATCGTTGGATATTAAATACGTTATAATAATCACGATTGACGTTAGAATCTCATTAGCAATGTAAAGTATTACTTCGTTTCTAATTTAACGTTGCAGCTCTAATTATACACGCTTTTTGATCTCTTTAAACGTCTGCTCGTCGTCATTTACTAAGGTTAACCATCGAAAAGGAGGTGATTGTTGCTAACGCGTGATAAAAAGTACACGTGTTACGGTATTAAAACGAGGACGTTCTTGAACCAATCGGAGCGTGCAGAAACTCCATCGCGTTTAAGCTCTTGTAGGACAAGGACGACGATCTCTGTCGATTTGAATAAAACTGCGTCGAAAATTTCCATCTAAGATTTGTAGGAACCCGTCAGACGAGTTCGCCTGGCGCGCATTTTGTCATAGTTTAAGGAGAACTTTACAGAAAGAGTATAAACGGTCGTTTTCGTAGCCGTCTAAAAATAAGCAAGGACGGTGAATTCATTTTCAGAGCATCTGTTTTGCTCAAACAGCACAATAGAACTGTACTTTTCGTGAGTAACGATAATTCGCTCTTGTATAACGATGAAATATATCAGGAAAAAGAAATCTATTTAATTATTTGTCAAATAGAAAAGATAATGAGTTTTAATTTTTTGATAAAGTATCGACGTTTACATAACAGAAAATAATGATTCTTTTCACTTTTTCCAGAAATTTTTGGTTCATGTAATATCCAAGTATGAAAGTAACGAATAAATGAAAAATTTCAAGGGTTTAGAAACTAGTTATACTTGATTAAATATTCAAAAAATTTTAATCGATTTTATTACGTGCAATTTTAGTATCAAGACAAATTTGAATGTAAACTAGTTCCTATACTTCTACCTTTTTACATTCTTTATCATTTGTTTTATTTTAATTGAATTAAATTCCAGTCAATGTTTATTCAATAATCTAACGATTTTTACATTGTCACCAATTGCATTAGAATCACACAACAAATACGTTCTGAGATTGCTATCCGAGTCACGTAAGCCGATCTTACTTTCTATCAACTGCCATAAGCGGACCGGAAATCGTGCTATATTCGCGTTATTTCAACGACGAACGTACATAGAGACGTTTATAAAATGGACGTCGCGAGGTAAATAAAAAGAAGAAAGGAAGAAATGGAAGAACTTATAATAAACATAAAATTAATGTCTACAGTTCGTATCACGTTCGAGAAAGAGAAAATTCGCACTTGCTAATTAATCAATCGCACGTTGAAAGTTTAAACACCTCGCTGCGAGCATTAGCGTGTATTTTCTTTTCCTGCTAACAAGTGAAAGTTCCTAGGGTAGGCCGTACACTCGACTCTGTCAATAATCAATGTTAATTTTGATTTTCTACTCCGTTGCAATTCTAATCGAAGAAGAATATTGCCGAGATAATTTCGTGAAAGTTAATACCACTAA